AAATCAATTAATCAATCAATCAATCACTCACTCACTCACTCACTCACTCAATCAATCAATCGCGGGGGGGAAGACCCCTCCCCCACCAGTCAATCAATCAATCAATCAATCATTCAAGCAATCAAAGGCCGGGCGGGGCGACCCCGCCCCCACCAATCAATCAATCAAGAAAAAAAAAAAAAAAAAAAATGCATTTTTTTTTTCAATTTTGTTCAATTTTGTTCAATTTGAAATACCAGGGCCGATGGGGATTAAGCCTACGGCGCGGGAATGCAACTTCTGTGGCTTACCAACTGAGCTATGCACTTCAGAAAGTGCTCGTGTGAGTTATGTCCACAGACTAGCAATCTTCAATGTATCTGACCATAATTACAACCGTATTGGATGTATCTGACCCCAATTCTGGCCACAATACGTAAAAAGTCATAGTGTGCCCTGACCCAGGCAAATTGGTCAGCATTCCGTCGACAAGAAACGAAGGGAACAGCCATAAAGTCGACCGACGACCCCGGTTTGTTGGGCAGCAATTGCAGGTCTCGCGTGCGCGCAGCAATATCTCTCGATCGACTTTTCGGCACTGTGGAGGTGTTGTGCTGGTGATTTGCTGAGCCGCGCTGGTACGTCGTCGTTGCGAATCAAACGCGGGGATCGAGAGTTTTGGCTTCGACTCCGGAGTCAACGTCTTGCGCGTCATGGCGAGTTTATCAGCGACCAGCTTGTTGAACACAGTGCCGTTGCGCCTGGAGATGGCTGCGGCGGCTGGATGGAAGAACAGCGGGCGAGCGCTCCCTGCTCGTTCGACGTCGGCACTGGCATACCTTTCAGGGAATTGCTCACGTGGGGACCTCAGCAGGACACGTGGCGTCATGAACGGCCTGAGAGATTGGTGCCATTGTATGACGCCGATGGAGCAACACTCGCCCGGTCGTTTGGGGCGAGGGCCCAAGCTCAGGGGAAGGAAGGAGGGTCGACCGGCGGATCGCAAAGAGACGCGAGGGGAGGCGACGCCTCGAGGGCTGGGGGAGCGGGCAGCACAGCAGGTGCAGCGGGTAGCGCAGGAGGGGCAGGGAGTACAGGACAGGGCTCTGGAACTGCCGGAGGTGGAGCGGGGGCGACTTCAGGAACCGGGACCACGGGAGGAGGTGGAGCGGGGACGACTTCAGGAGCCGGGACCACGGGACGGACGGGATCATCTGGAGCGGGAGCGGGGACTACAGGGGCCACGAGTGGCACTGATTTGACGACACGCGGCTTGGGCGGGAGAGGTCTCAGTCGAGCCATCGATCGGCCTGGGCTGTTTGGCGGGCTCGCGGGACCATTAGGTAAACACGGCAGTGATTTGTTTTGGTGATTTCTCTGCTTTCGTGTGTGTTTCTTTCTTGGATCGGTGAAAGATTTTGTTGTATTGTTTCATTGCTCTTAGTTTGCAGGTTCCATCTCTTTGTCGTTGTCACGTTTCTCCTTCGGTATAGTCTGTGGTCTGTTGTACCTTTTGCGGATCGTGGAAGTAATCGAAGAGGTCTTCTTTAGTGTTAGGATTTGTGAGAATGCCAGAATGCCACTGTGCTCGCGAGTCTTTCTTTTGAGCCAAGATACCATATATGGTTGGGCCCCTGTTATTGTCGTTAGGATGAAGGAGAACGCGGTGGATATAATACTGACAGGTGAAAATCGTTTTAATACGTGCCAAATTGCCAATGTCTGTCATGTCATCTGCCTGCCGAACTCGTATGTCGGTCATATCTATCTGCCTTGGCCTGGCTCCACTACCTAACGCTGTGCATGCATTTGGAGTTTTCTCGACCAGGTGCATTTGGACGAGTCCAATGTTTTGAATGTATCGGGCCCATGAAACCGTCGAGATGCATGCAAAGAGTGTTGAGTAGTGGAGCGAAGACGACAGCTTCGGTAAGCTTCAGTTGTCAGTTGGTTGTAAGGCCGTCGTTCGAGCTGATGCTGGTCGGGATCTTGCTGCTACCGGTTGGATTAAGGATGTGTGATGGGGTGGGTCTGACTCGTGAGAGCCTCATATTGTCTGGACCAGGTTGTCTTTGATTAGACTACTGTACTGTAGCTCATGCCTTCTTTTGATCGCTTCTTGTTTTGCTATCAAAGACCAGAACATGTTCATGAGCGCAACGTGCTGGCGACCAGAACCAGCATTAACCTTTAGTAGGAAAGTTAGCTCTGAACTTGTTTCCGTGATCGCTTCGTGTTTTGCTCTCAAAGACCAGAACATGTTGGCGACCAGAACCAGCATTAACCTTTAGTAGGAAAGTTAGCTGTGAACGTGTTTCCGAGCGGAACGTGATCTGCTCCATATGTCTATGGTACGTAGTTGTTTCTGTCAATGCTGACTCACTAGCTCATTGCGCTCGAGGACAGTATGTTGATGAGTCTGAAGATCAGGGAGATGACGAGGCAGGGAATACGGGAATACGCTTATACAACGACTTCAAATTTGTGGTGAATTTTCGTTCTCCTTCTTTATCTGTTCCTTTTAAAAGGGCAAGCCATGACATATCATTTTGTCTGACCGGCCCCAGGTAATTCAGCATTATTTGATTTGCATCTGCATTCGAATTCGGTCTACATTTCAGTTGTTGGCGAAATCCATTTGTGTTGAGTTTTCGCTTGGCTGACGTTTTATTCGTTGCTGTGCGTGGTTGGTTTCTGCATACCTTTTGCTGTGTCCTGCTATGACCACAGCAACACAGCAACACAGCAAAAGACATTATACCTTGATTTTATTATCTGATTGCATCTGCATTCGAACTCTGTCTATATTCCGATTCTATATCTGATTGCATCTGCATTCGAACTCTGTCTATATTCCGATTCTATATCTGATTGCATCTGCATTCGAACTCTGTCTATATTCCAATTGTTGATTGAGGGTACCAACTGATATGCCCGTTACTGTTTGAGTTTTTTGTTGGGCTGACATTTTATTCGGTGCTCGTTGCTCTGCTTGGCTGTGTTTTTATATACCTTTCGTTTTGATGAATGAATCATGTGCTGTGTGTCCATCGATGAATGAAGACTTGTGGACTTCGCCAGCGACTTCCGTTCGCCAGATGATGGATTTGATGGATCGTCTCACGGATGACACGTCTTTGGGCCGTTCTGGAGTGGGCAGGCTGATGGGAGATCAGATCCGGGGATCGACCCGTTTGCCGTTGGAGTGGCGTGAGACGGACGACAAGTTTCTGTTCCGAATGGATATGCCGGGCGTTAAAAAGGAGGAGGTGAAGGTGCGGGTGGAAGGGGAGAACACGCTGGTCGTAAACGCGGAGCATCATCGTAGGGCGGACGAAGGCGAGCATGTAGAGGACGGAGACAGAATAGAGAGCGAGGCACGGTACTCTTCACGGATCAGTCTGCCAGATCATGTGAAGGCGAACGAAATCAGGGCGGATTTCAAGGACGGCGTTTTGCACGTCGTCATTCCCAAGGAGAAGGCGCCGGAAAGGAGGGTCGTCGACGTCTCGATCTCTTGACGTGTCGGTCTACGAGGTCCTAATTGTTAGCGAAGACACCGTGTATGCTCTACGGATCGCTCTGCCAGAAGGTCAAGGCGAGAACGAGATCAGGGCGGGATTTCAAGGACGGTGGTTGGTTGGCCACGAAGGTTATAAACGTGTGAAAGTTTTGTAGATTGGTGATGGTAGAGTCATCGGTCAATTTGGTCGCTGAAATAGAAAGTAGGAGGAAGCATGACTTGGTGGTGGTGGGGGGGGGATGGGAGGGGATTACCTCGTCCCCCGAACGTAACGGGTATGCGTTTAGAGGTTCCGAGTATCTCGAAAAGATCGCTGTTCGAATAGAACGCACATGCGTTGTATTAGAACGCACATGCGTTGTATTCTATTCGCTCAATTTGGTGAGTATTATGAAAGTAGGAGTAAGCATGAGTTGGCGGAAAGGAAAAGGATGACGAACATAACGCATGTGCGTCGTTGGAGTTTGTCTTCTTTTTGTAGAATAAATCGCTGTTGAAATAGAACGCACATGCGTATGCAGTGATCGTTACGGATAGATTGCTGGGTTGGGGCTTAGAATATAGCAAATAAAAAATGGATAGGCAAATTTTCTAGTGTACGTGTTAGTGTGTGCCAAATTTTCTAGTGTACGTGTTAGTGTGTGCGTGTACGTGTTAGTGTGTGCGTGGTATGGTATATAAAATTTGACCACATTGCTCCTGTCCGTTGGAACAGAACGCACATGCGTTATGATCGTTGCAGATAGATTGCTGGGCTGGGGTATAGAATATAGCAAATGTAGTGGATAGGCTAATTTTCTAGTGTACGTGTTAGTGTGTGCGTGGTATGGTATATGAAATTTGACCACATTATATAGTGGATAGGAAATTTCTAGTGCACGTGTTAGTGTGTGCGTGCTATGGTATTTTTCCTGTCCGTCCCCTTTTTTTCCGTCTCTTCCCCTGATGTATCTCTGGCTGTGCGTGAAGGTCATCCTGTCCAGATTTGACAGGCAATTGAATTGGTTGGGCAGCAACTTGGGCTTCAAAAAAATTAGCCTTTGAAACCCAGAAAATAAAATAAAAAAATAGACGTGGGAATTGGATATGTGAAGTAGTCATCAAGTCAGAGCTACTGCTTACGACGGTAGATTGCACCAGATCGCAAAAATACCGCACAGCAGACAGATAAGACAAGATAGAGGAGGTGGTACAAGGCGGGCACAGCTTTGCACCAGATCGCAAAAATACCGCACAGCAGACAGATAAGACAAGATAGAGGAGGTGCCACCAGGCAGGCACAGCTTTAACTACTTGCGAAACATGAAAACGTTCGAGTGATGGAGGTGCTTTTTTCCCTTAGAACATGTCGAAGTCCATATCCACTCGTGCACTGATGTGTTGGGCCACGTGACAGATTCTTGTCTTTCCGATTCAGATCTGTCATTTACCGATGTCACGTGGCAGATTCTCTTGGATTCTGTTAGCCGTTGTCACAGACTCACAGAAATGATGCCAGCTGAGCTCTTTATGGGTTCTTGCCGTATATCGTTGATACAGAAATGATGCCAGCTGTGTTGTTTTCTGCAGAGGTTTTCATCAAGTTGGGTGTGCATGGCATTCCGCCAGCCCCTACCCCTCGCGCCCCCCCCAAAAAAAAAACCCCAAGTGCATGGGAGGAGGTCACTGTCAAACTACCGTCTTCCCCCGAATACAACGCACTCCCCATTTCGGTTGTACCTGACCGGAGATATGGCTCGTATATACATTCATAAGAGGATGCGTTATGTACGAGGGAAGACGGTAGGCGTCATGGATTCTGGGGGAAAAGGCTTGTACCGGGTATTTTTTATCATTCCGCCGAATGCAACGTTTCCCCATTTCGTCTGTGTACCTGGTCGGAAATATAGCTTGTATACTTCAATTGTGAGGATGCCTGATGTTCGGGGGAAGACGGTAGGTGTCATGGATTTTGGAGGGAATGGTAACCGTTGTAGTGGGTATCGAGTCTATTGACCCGGTAGGAGAAGCTTCAATAATGTGGGTATTGACCCCTTTAGGAGATGTTTCAATAATCTGTTGACGAGTCCCGGATCACCTTCAAGTTGGGAGTTCGTGTCTATTCCCATAAAAAGCCATAATAATAACTTCTTGCCATTGGTGTGGCATCAGCCAGGCCGAGCCAGCGTTGTCTTTTGTCCAATGCAGATCGGTAAACCAACAAAACGGCAAAACGACCGTGAGAGAACATTGTTGAGCTGACCCGTGTCTGTTCTCACAATTGGTCAATCTGCATGTTTATACATATCGCTTCGTCAGTTTTTTTTTGTTTTTTTTTTTAATTTTATTTATTAGTTTTTAATTTATTGGTTGCTATTGATCTGCATTGAATTTCGACAACGCTGTTGCTACCAACCGTCGGCAGTAAGTTTTTATTTTGTTTTTGTTTTTTGGAACGGCAACGGCCTTGAGATATCATTGTCGAGCTGACCGGCCCTGCCGGTAGTTCAGAGTCTTAGGATTTTTATTTAGTCATTTGCTCTGTGGAGTTCGAACTCAGGGGTAATGTCCCACTAGCAAAGAGGATTGGATTGAATGCTTGAATCTGGATGCGTTTGTGAAAAGGTGCTGAAAATCGAGATTGAACTGTTTTCTGCATCTCTGCTTAGAACACGTCCAGATTCAGGAGCGTAATCCAATCCTCTGTGCTAATGGGATCTTTCCCCAGGTCTGTATTTTAGTCTTTAGGTGCTGAAAATCGATATTGAACTGCTTTTCTGCATCTCTGCTTAAAACACGTCCTGATTCAGGAGCGTAATCAAATCCTCTGTGCTAATGGGATGTCCTCCCAGGTCTGTATTTCAGTCTTTCAGGGGTGTAGGGACCATCTGAGCTGGGCCAGTTGGTCGCAATAAGTGTTTGCTTTGCTTTGTGGAAGCCCTGGTTTCTATTTTCGTCTTCGCTGAGGAGAACGCCTGCGTCGCCTGGTCATCTTATCTGTTGGTGCCACTTCTTGGGCTATCTTTCGGTCTAGATACAGCGGTAATGATCGGTCGTTCTATTCGATTTGGGCGATCTTTCGGTCTAGATACAGCGGTAATGATCGGCCGCCGGCCAATCCGATCGAGGACGGTAGATATTGTTAATGGATGGAGTTTTCCCGCTTTTGCATGTCCACCTATACCGAGTGGAACGCCTGGTCAACGTAACTGTATTTGGGCTGACTTTAGTCTTGATACAGCCGATAGATGTTGTTAATGGATGAAGTTTTGCATGTCCACCACCACCGAGTAGAACGAATGGTCAACGTAACTGTATTTGGTCTAACCTGCAGTCCACATACAGCGGTAATGGTCGGGCGGTTTTCGGGTGAAGACGGTAGATGTTGTGAATGCATGGTCGGACTTTGCATGTACACAACCACCGACTAGAAAACGTCTGGTCATCGGTTTTGAGTGTATTGGGGCTATATTTTCTGTCTAGATACAGTTTACTATATTGGGGCTATATTTTCAGTCTAGATACAGATCGGGCGTTCTACTCGGGTGAAGATGGTAGATGTTGATGCATGCTCGGACCCCCACCCGGTCAGTTCCCGTCTGTCTTTTTTTTTTTTTTTTGAAGCTATGCTTTCGTTGTTGTGATGTCTTTTGCATTTTTCTGTTAGCAAGCTCACAAGCCAGATGATGACAGTTTTTGTTCCTATTCCTGTCCGGTTTTTTTTTTTTTTTTTTTTTTTTTTTTTT